TTGTGTTGGATTGTCCCACTCGGTGGAATTCTACTTATGACATGCTTTCTGCTGCAATCCCATATAAGGATGTGTTCTCTATTCTGAAAATAAGGGAACCTCAATACAACTCTCTGCCAAGCAATGAGCATTGGGAGTTTGCTGAAATTTTGTGTGGGAAACTTGAGGTTTTCAAGGATATAACTGCTGTATTTTCTGGTTCAAACTATCCTACAGCCAATCAGTTTTTTGCTAAGGTGTGTGACTTGAGGTTGCGTTTGATGGAATGGTTAGTTGATCCTAATCCGATGATTGTTTCTATGGCTGAAAAAATGTGGACAAAGTTTGTCAAATACTGGGATGATATTCATTTGCTACTGGCTGTTGCTGTTGTAATGGATCCGCGGTACAAATTGGATTTGATTGGGTACTATGCAAACAAATTTGGCATTACTGGTTCTGGTTCTGACCTTGTGATTGATAGAGTGAAAGATCTTGTTGCTGATTTGGTTGTTGAATATCAGAGGAAATCCTCTAAGAACACAACTGTTACTTCTACATCTCATCCTTCTTCGGCCACAGATCTGGATTTTGATCTATATGTGAGCCAAAGGAAAAAAACCAGAACATCTGTTGTTACAACTGAGTTAGATCACTATCTAGCTGAGGATAATCATCCTAGAATACCAGATTTTGATTTGCTTGGTTGGTGGAAATTCAATGGTGCTAAGTATCCCATTTTGCAAGACATTGCAAGGGATTTACTTGCTGTGCCTGTTACAAGTGTTGCCTCTGAATCTGCCTTTAGTTCTGGTGGGAGGCTTTTAGACCCCCATCGGAGCAGGCTTGATCCCCTAACAGTAGAAGCAATGATGATATTGAGGACATGGATTCAAGATGATAGCAAAGGTGATTGTTTTAATCGAATTCTTACTTTTTTTTTTGTGTTTTCCATTGTTTGGTTAGTATTCTTATCGATTAATTATTGCTTTCCCTGTCATGTAGTGTCTGCCTCGGATTTGAAAGCTTTAGAGGGGGTTTTCTCAGCTATGGCAATGGATGATTCCTCGGTGGAAGAGTGGACAGGTAACCTTTTTGCTATAACTAGTGTTTAACTTATGCTTCAGCTCTGTTCTAACCATTTTATTTTGTAATAGATGGACCTGGAAGCTGTTCGAAGGAGAAAGGTGATGAGGATGATGTAGCTGCTGTCATCACCCTGCTGGACTAGCTCTAGGTTTGTGTTTTAAGGTTTAAGTTTCCATTTATTAATAATGCATCAGAATAAAGTGTTTAATGTGAATGAATCTGTCATATTTTGCAGATATTGTCTAGTAGGCATTAGATGTGAATTACTCTTGTCTGATGGGTTGCTGGACTGATGCTGAGTTGCTGGAATGATGCTGAAATGATGGTGGGTTGTTAGCCTGCTGTGTTGCTGCCTGTTTTTGAAGAAGTGAAGAATGCTTGATGCTGCTACTTAGTACTGATTTATGGTTTTGATTTTTAGACTTCAGTTGAGAATTGGTTTTGATTTTTGGGGTTTGTTAGACTATTCTTAGTTGAGAATTGGCTGAATTGCACTTTGCATACTATTTTTAGCTGCTGGTTTTAGACTTCAGTTCTTAGATGGAGACTTGCTGGATTTCAGATAGGTTTTGGTTTTGCAGTTCATTGTCATTTATACTGTTGGCAGCTGGCTGTTATTTTTTGAATGAATTTTCCTTTGTTTTTGAGTTCATTTGGAATTGGATGATTTGTGGGCTTAGGTTTTGGGCTCGCTGGCGGGTATTCCATAACCCGTGGGTTCACCGAAGCCCGATTGGTTTTGGGCTTGGTAGGGATTCTCTGCCCGTATAGTCAAACGGGGCGGGCACGGGCATTACCCGCGGGCCTAAAATGCGGGCAACGGATAGGGGGTATCCGCACCGTATCCGACCCATTGCCATCCCTAGCGGGGTTGGGGAATTATGGGAGGGTCGGGTTATTTTTTCTTGGGTTAATGCCGAGGGTACTGGGGGAAACTAGGCGGGCTTAGGGATGGCAATGGGTCGGGTTGGGTCGGGTTTTGCCAAACCCAAATCCAAACCCATGGGTTTATCCGTGAAAAAAACCCGGGGTAAAATTCACTGGGTTTGAAAAACTCAAACCCAACCCAACCCGCTAGGGATCCGCGGGTTCATGGGTACCCACGGGTTTTTGTTGTAAAAAATTCACAGTAACAAGTTCCTATCAAAATTAACGTCAAATATCAATCTCTCAATACAAATTATCCATATATAAAACACCATTCTAGAAAATTCAAGCAAATCACAAATTAACTATACAAATTGTTCAACACCAATCTAGAAAACTCAAGAAAATTGAAGCAAATCACAAATTATCCATTAATAACATGATTAATTGAAAGCTTCTTCCTTTCAATTAAGTTTTTCAATCTCTACTCGATAACATCAAATTCATTCTATACAACTAGAAAGAAAAAATTAGACATGTCTCCACAACATAAATAAGATTAGTTGTTTAGAATATTAAATATGCCGAGAAAATTATTATATGGGTGTGGGCGGGTACCCATGGGTCGGGTTTACCTAAACCCAAACCCAACCCAACCCGGTAAATAGTGAACGGGTTAAAACCCAAACCCGGCCCAAAACCCGTCAACACGAATTTTACCCGCTTTGACCGGGTTGGGTCGGGTGGGTACCCGTGGGTTCGGGTTTTATTGTCATCCCTAGGCGGGCTGGGGGTTTCTTTTACCTAGGGAAATTATTGGCGGCTGGGGAGTTATTTTGGGAGGGGCCGAGATTGCAACTTTTAGAACACAACTGTCATCCCAACCGATCACGTATTATGGTCGAATCATAACCCAAAATTCGGGGTGTTACAGACTTACCCAAACATAATTAAAGTTATAGAAGTATTAAAATAAACTAGAAAAACACATTCATTCAGAACCCTAACATATTCATTCATCTACATAAACTCCATAATACTAGGGTTTGGGGATTTAAATACCTAGTACCTAGGGGTGGGCAACGGGACGGGACTTTTTCCCAGTCCCGTTTGAAATGGGTACCAAGTCCCATTTGGAGAGAAAACTTTATCACATGTTCCAAACCTGTAAGGGTTAACGGTTAACCATTACCCGTACGGGACAGATAACATGTACACGCGAGTAATCCATAGAAGTATCACGTAGGAGTCGTGCCATTTGTCAACGTTGAGGTCAAAAAAGCGGTGGAGAGTCTCGACGGTTATGGAATATGATGGGAAATGTTTGTATAAGCCTCACTCTGGCCCGGTTTCGAGGATTCTGTTTCAGGAATGGTGCATCTCTCAGGTAAATGAAATTCGTGTACATTACTGCAGGTTTTTGGTTCTTACTATTTCCTTACTTTGCTTGGTCTTGCATTGGATGTGACCAGAGAGTGTTGGAATGTTTTCTGTTTGATATTGTTTCATTCTCATTTGGTAAGAAGCTTGGTCTGGGGTTTACTAGCTGGCTGGCGATGATATACAAAAGGGTATTTGTTCTTCTAGGAACTATTTAATTTAGTTGGTGTTGTGTGTAAGAAAACTGGAATCTAGGCGTCTTGTGTCAAGGGCTCTGCGATCCGGCTCGATAGGGAATTGGGGAATTATTGATTGAATGAGGCTAGATGGAGAGGAGTGAGGGGAAATTCGGGGAGAAGAGGGGAAGGGGGTCGGCGGCCGGGGATGGCGACAAGTATGATAATGGGGTTAGGGAAGGAACTCAGTCAAATAGATAGAGAGAGGAAGGAGATTAGGGTTTCTGGGAATTTTGTTATGTATTTGTTTAATGAGTAATTTGACCACCTCCGGTCCGACTGATCCGTTCCGCCCACCTTGGCTCGCTCGGTCACCGCCCAGTCCCATCCCGTTAGGGTGGAACTCTCGACCAAGTGGCCCACCCGTTGGGTCGAATTCGGCCCACTCCTTGCTCTGATCAGCCCTACTCATCTCCTCCACACTCTGGGCCTAGTCGGCCCGCTTCTCTCTCGGCCCATGACCACATTAGGCTAAGTCCTCCCTCGTGGATTCCGAGCCCAGTAGCCCTCAGCCCATTTCCATGCCCACCGAGTCGTAGCCCTGCATCTTGGAGTTTCCTTGCAAAGCTGCGATCTCTTGGGCCTTCAGGGTAGGCAACATGCTCGGGGCAGGATTGGGTTGCATCCGACTCTGGAATGAACTCGCCATCGCCTCACCGAGCGGGTCAGACTCGCCACCGCCGCTGTCATTCCTGCTAGCGCGGCCCCTGCTGCCGCCGCTACCGTCACATAAGCTGTCGTGATCGGAGCCCAAGTCGGTGTTCCCCATGTTGGCTCTGCCGACGCCGCGCTGTCCTCTGCGGCTGCTGCTTCCTTCAATACGACAGCCGCCTCCCTTGTTCTCTGCGGCGACGCAAGCAGCCCTGCGAAGCTATCGCCATCTTCATAAGCTCCATTAGCGATCTCAGATCGTCACTATTCTTCTTGGTCATCTCATGGAGAGTCTCATTCACCTCTCCCATGCGAACGTGAATGCTAATCTAGTGATCTGCCATCGTTCAAAGCAGTCCCTTGATGTCCACCTCCAGGGTGATATATTCCACGGTTACGGTCTCCTGTAGTCTTTTCTCAGATGAATTCTCCGACAAACTCATCTTTCTTCTAGCCTAGACGCCAAGGAGGCTTTGATACCACTGTAAGAAACCTGGGATCTAGGTTTGTTACATCTAGGACTCTGCGATCCGGCTCGATAGGGAAATGGGGAATTAGGGATTGAATGAGGCTAGATGGAGTGGACTGAGGGGAAATTCGGGGAGAAGAGGGGAAGGGGGTCGGCGGTCGGGATGACCGACGAGGATGATGATGGTGTTGGGGAAGGAAATAAGCCGAATAGATAGAGAGAGAGGAAGGAGATTAGGGTTTCTGGGAATTCTGGGAAGTATTTGCTTAATGAGTAATTACCCACTAATTACAGAATATATAACCCGAATAATTCCCGCTAACTACCCCAATTAATAACCCTTAACGGAATTAACCGAATAATCCTCAAATGCGCCCAAGACCCCAAAATAATACCCAATATAACCCAAACATAAATAAACCGACAAACAAGTCCAAATACCGAAATCACCCAATAAGTGGGTTTCTAACATAGTGTAGATTAGGGGTGGCAGTCGGTCGGTTTCGATTTAACCAAAAACCGAAAACCCGGTTATCGTTTAAACCGAGACACCCCCTATAGCTGCCGACCACCGACCGAAGAGAGGTCACGGTTAGCCGGCCAACCGACCGGTCGGTTTCGGATTTGGGCTCGGTTAGCCGGCCAACTGAAAAAAATACATTTTCCACAAAAAAAAAATTAAATAAAACAAAAAAACTCCACCACTCCTTCCTTATCTCCTCCTCTCTCCTTCCTTCCTCCACCAGACCTCTTCTCTCTCCTTCCTTCTTCTTCTCTCACCTTCTTTCTCCATGGAAACAGATCTGCAGGGGTGGCGAGGTGCGGCGACGGGCGGCGAGGCGTGGCGCCGGGGAGGAGGAGGTCGTCGAGGCGAGGGGGCGGGCAGAGGCAGTCGCAGGGGCGGGGCTGAGGAGGGGCCAGCGGCGGAGCGCGCCGTTGGTTCCGCCGCCAGAACCAGATGCGCTGCTACTGTTGTTGTTGAAAGGAATCAAATCCGAGGAGGAGGAAGTTTCTTCTGCCTCTTGCTTGGCCGGCTCGGAGTCAGAGCAAGTTGTGGTGGCGGTGGAAGGAGGGGGAGCGGAGGAGGCAGGGGAGGGCGGCCGGAGTCGTCGGAAGAGGGAGGATGGGGGAGGAGGAGGGAAGATGGAGGAACGAGAGGTCAGAGGAGGGAGGATGGGGGAGGAGGAGGGAGGATGGGGGGGGGGTGCGGCTCACGGCTGTGCGAAACGAGAGGTCCGAGGAGGGAGGATGGAGGAACGAAGGGAAGGGCTGCTAGGGTTTAGGGAGAGGTGGGTAGTTTTATTTAGGCCAAAACGGGGTCGTTTAGCGTCGGTTAGCCGGTTAACCGGTCTTGATTTTTCAGCTAACCGCCTAACCACTGAATGCCTCCGACAACCGACCGCCACCCATTTTTTCGGTTTCCGGTTAGCCTCTAACCGGCGGTTAACGGTTAGACTAGCCGGTTAGCCGCTAACCGGCAACCAAACTGACAACCCTAGTGTAGATGTTTACGAGTTGCTGCGATGGTTACGTTCGAATGTTGGAACTTGAGGAGGAGGAGTTTATTCTTGTGCGCGAAATGGTGGAGCGCTTGAACTGCCTGTCCAAGTCACCAAATGATGACAAGAGCTTGTACATGGGTGAAGGTTAGGGAGGGTTAACTGTGTGGGACACGAAATCGGGGAATCCTTCCTTGTAGTTGCTTTTGTAAGATAACTTTTAGTTCAAGAGAGTTATTTCATTCGTCTATTATGAAACCCATGAGTTATGAAAGGAAAAGGAGTGTTACATTTGATTCACTTGGTTTTAAGAATAAGGAGTTATCAAAGATTAATAACTCCAAAGAGTTATGTTTCTATGGTAACTCTTCCATGATGGATGGTTGAGATTAAAGAGTAAAGAAACTTAGTAGGAATTTTGGTCCTTTCTACACCTATAAATAGTATGTGTTGGGCCATCATAATTTCGGAGTGCCATTCATGGCGGGCGGCTTCTTCCGCACATGCAACTTGGTGGCGATGGCGGTGATTACGATTGAAGCTGGGATCGTAGCCGGTCAGTGGGAAAGAGGAGATGAAAATGGAACGAAGTATAGGGATGAGAACGCTGCTTCCAAAACCCCAGATTCCATAAGCCGCCGCTGCTTCTGGGTTCTTTTTTTCCTTCTTCTAGTTTCGATGATTGCTTTCCAAGATCGAAAAGTTGGGGAAGATGGTTGCAGAAGAAGTTATCGGGGAAGAGGATTCACTACTTCGATCGAAAAGGGGTAGACGATTTGCGTGGGAAATGGAAAAGTTCTTCGATTGGAAAGGGGTAGACGATTCGCGTGGGAAATGGAAAAGTTGGGGAAGAACGCTAAAATCGAATTTGGGGAAAGGTTGGGGAAGAAGGGTCGTGCAGATGGGGTATAATGAGGGTAATTTTTTAAATTTATTATTTATAAATATTAAATAATTGAAATATATGATGTTTCACTATTTGCTTTTGTGGGGCTGACATGTCTGCTGAGTTGGCGCCTAGTCAGCAAACTGTCAAATAAGTTGACAGTGTGAATAACATCATCAAGTATCTAACGGAAATGACTATATTTGTTATACAATAACTTTAACAACTGGCTATAAGTGGTATTTCTCCAAATTTGGCTATTATTGGCACAAACACGAAAGTTTTGACTATACAAGTGTATTTTGCATTTTTTATTATATTTTGTGTGATTATCATGTTGTTATATGGATCTTAGTGTTTATGTAAATTAAGGTTTACATGAGGTATCAGAGCTTAGATTATGAATAACATGATACTCCTTAAAGTACTATATATACAATTTAGGAGAAACAACTTTCTAAAGCTCAAGTATTATTGACAATTTTTTTTATTACCCACGCGTCTTTCACATACATTTCATGATTCTGTATGTACATTATAGGCATATATTAAGATATATATAATTTTTAGTTTAGCAATACTAAAGGAGTAATCACTACAAAAAAGACAGTCATTACTGACGACACGTTTTTCGTCGAAATTAATCAAATTGCATCGGAAATGACATTTTCCGACGACATACAGTCGTCAAAAATTGCCTCGTCGCTAATAAAAATATTATTGACCAGTCGTCGAAACAAAAATAGTATCGAAGACATAGAATCGCTAATAATAAAAAAATGACATCATAGTTGAAATTCATCATGACGGCTGAATTTGACGAATTTTTTATTGACGACAAATTTACTCATTTTTACGAATTATATGCGTTAATAATTAAGCATTTTTGACAAGCCGTCATAAATACTATTTATGCTAACGTTGACAAATTATCGGAAAAAATATTTCTAACGAGAATTTGAGGCCGATGATTTTTTTATACTTTGTACACACATTTGTGAGGTTGTTAGGGCGTCAATAGTTTATTATTCTCGACGGTTTAGTTAGAAATATTATTTTTACTGATGCCACCAAACCTTTGTTAGAACTAATTTTTTTCAACGTGTCGTCAGAAAAATTACATTTATCGACGATAATTATTTACCGTAAAAAAATAAGCTTTTCCATTTAATATTAGAATTAGAGGGTTTCATTTTCATTTAAATCACGAAATGCACAAAAAAAATATTAGAGTATAAGAACAATACTCCTATAAGTACACGAGTACAAATTATTATTAATCTTCATATTTGCATTAACAAAACTACCAATACATTCGCAAACATAGATCTATAAACAAAAAACAATAATACTCCTATCAGTTCCACGCAACCCGACGCCAGCAAGGATAGATCTATTTACAAATAACCCCCAAATCTACTGAAATCGGCTCCCTGTCGATGCCGAAAGCAAATTCCAAGAAAGGTTTCCGTCTATGTTCTTCCTTCTTCCGGCGTTCAACCTCACCTCCACCGATCCTTCCCACGGCCACTGTCTCTCTTGTTTACTTGGGTCAATGACAATACCTATGCTTCGTAGCTCAAATCCCTGAAACGCAAAAGAGGTCAGAAACCAATTTTAAACCATAAAATAGAAAGGAAACACACAAATCATACCTTGATCGTGGTTGAAATCCGCGTCCGCTTTCTTAATGGCCATGATGTAGGTTGTGCAGGCTAAAGGAAGAACAACATATCTAGCCGCTAGAAGAGGCTGATTCGGCTTTGACAAGGGGCAGATGAAAGAAAGGAGAAGGAGGCCATTGTTTGGGGTTTATTCTGGCTTCTTGCTTGAGAGAGAGACGAGAGGAATGAAGAAGTAAGAGGGGGAAAAGGGCAACAGATTTGAACTAGGCGAGAAGAGGGAGAGAGGTATAGTGCGGCTAGGGTTAGAAAATGAGATTAGGTTGATTTATATACCCGACGCCATTAAATGGCCATTTGCCCCTTTTTTCGATAACCCGCTGCCATCTTTATCTCAACCACTTTTTTTTTTTAATCTCTCAATCACTTTTTAGTTTTAAAATTTGAACAAATTTTAATAGGTAAACTAAATTAAACATGATTTACTACTTGCCTTTCATTATACATGGGATTGCCCGCTGCCATCATATATAATTAAAATTGTAAATCTTTTTCTAAGTGTTTTTTTTTTCTTCTATCTATCTTCTATACTATACTTAATACAGATTCATGGGTCAGAATTTCCCCATTTTGAATTTGCAGCCTCGGGAGTGATTTACGGAAGGGTTTATATGTCATTTTGCAACATAATAAATGATGTTATGCGTTTTGCTTTTCAAAGGCCAATACCAAGCTCCACAGATGGATAAGGGCCTGACTGTGACAGTGGGCTGTGCATTTAGTTTTCAAAGGCCCATTCCTCCACAGATGGGTCAAAAAACAAAACGACAAAACATCCGACCAGTAATCCAGTCACCGTCGACATACAAGTCGGCGACCTTTTCATCTTCCACTCTCGATAACCAAAACCAAAACCAAAAAAATGAAATGTCATAACCCTAGCTCACAAACAAAAACCTAAAAATCGACATGCAAACAAACAAAAACAGATCTTAATTTCACCGCCGCTGTCATCATCATCGCCGGCGTACATCGCCGTCAGTTCTCAGCACCGCAAGAAGCCATCATGCCATCGCGAATTTGAAGCTCCGGCGGAGGAGATGAGAGAAGAGAGGAGATGAGAGAAGCTGTCGGCTTTACCTTCAGAGCATCCGGGCTAGAGATCCAAGTCGGCGGCCCTTTCCTCTTCCCCTCACGATAAGCAAAACCACAAAAATTAAAGGTCGGATCCCTAAATCATAAAAAAGTCCTTAAATTCGACATGCAAACCAACAAAGCACTTCTTACCTTCGTCGCCGCTGTCATCGTGCCGGCGTCCACCGCCGTCAGTTCTAACTACAGCGAGAAGCCATAACGTCATTATGACTACGACCTTTGAAGCTCCGACCGAGGTAATGAGGGATGAGAGGAAATGTGTTGAGCTGGCGGCTTCACCATCAGAGGGTGGGCGAGAGATCGGAAGAGAAGAAGAAGACTGTTCAAAAGATGGTTGGGCGGCAGTGAATTAGGGTTTAACTTTTAAGAGAAGTTTTTATACCCCTCCCCACCCAGCGTGTTTACCTTTACCCTTTGTAAATTACCAAATTCTCAAAATCTCTTTTTTTTTTTAATAATAAAACTCATAATCTCTTTCCTTTTACATCACCGAAAAAAATCTTTCCTATTAAGCGTATCTAATCCTAAATTAATCTAATTAAATAATTAAATGAGTGACAAGTAATAATACACTTACCCTATTATATAGATTAAGTAGTACCAATTTAGAGTATTGCAGAAATAAGTAGTATCAATTTAGAGCGTTGCATGGTGTAGGGCACTCCTTCTCGCATAACCGTATTCTAAAACATATAACTTGAGTTCTCATATGAGGTTCCGATTTTAACCCTATGGTTAAGACCAGATCAAAATAGTGTTCGATCTATTCCAAGTTAAGTTCGATGACAACTCTGGAAATGAACGTGAGCAAGTAGTACCAATTTAGAGTGTTGAAGGGTGTAGGGCTCTCTTTCTCACATAACCGTACTCTCGAACCTATAACTTGAATTTTCTTACCAGGTTCTGATTTTAACCCTAAGGTTAAGACCTGACCAAAATAGTGTTCGATCTATTCCAAGTTAAGTTTGATGACAACTCCGAAAAAGAACGTGAGCAACTCCGATTCCAATGACAATATCCATTATCCTACCTAAAATAGTTTGAAACTCATATAGACAAAATAATTGGGTAGACAATCAAAATAATGTTCTTCCCCCATCGAATTTAGTGTATCCAATATGTTGGGTAGCATTACACGTAGAATAACATTACATAAGTGGAAAATATGACGACAAATCACTAGAAATAAGAAAATTAGTTAAAAATAATTATATATATATAATAAACATAATATGTTAAGAATAATAATAATAATTTTCTTAGATAAAATACATATGCATGTATGTAATTGAATGAGTTTGGATAGTGATAAAACTATGTCTACCAATTACTCGCAATATTCATATTCACGTTTTATCCGTACTCACTAAAAATCCTTTTGTTCAAGTTTTACCCTACTCAATTAGGTCAGATTTGAATGAGGTATCCACAGTTGTGAATATTTTTACGCCAAATCACGACTTTATTGTATTTTGAAGATACAGAAGATTTCAATGGAGAGTCGATAAACAGAGTATTAAATTACTTTTTATTATATACTCAACAAAAAGATTACGGAGAGATGAGGCAGATCGTTAGATGATTATAATCAATTATTTTAAATTACGTAACAATTAAATATGGCAATTAGCCAGGTAACAACTTGGAGATAAAACTTTGGTAGTAGGAGGAGTCTGACTCCTTGACCTGTTGTGGGAACGATTGTATCAATTTTGTCGGATATGTTATCAAACTTTTCTCCTTATGTGAGATTTAAAATATTTGCCTCTTTCGGTGGTGGTGGAATAATAAGATCTTGATGATATTTAGCTTTCAATTTATTGTAGTACTTGGATTTATGCCCGAAATTTCTTTTGAGTTTATTAGGTGAATTTGAAACTTGGGAGGCAGAATATCAAACTTTAGCTCATTCGATTGTGACTATCAATCCGCAACGTGTCTATTCAAATGCAACAATTTCATATTTATAACATGTGTCAGGATCAACAAAAATAACAAAGATCAATCATGAAAATATGGGACTATATCAAAGATCAATCATAAACTCTTTCTTTGTAAGCATATATATATATCTATCGTATTAGTTACCTACCTTTGCTATCTACACACATTATAAGCGATAGCAACCCATACCAAAATACATAATAATCAAACATCCGGCCAACGGGCCGGACCCAGTGCTAGTACAATTAATGCAAATTATATGAATGCACAATGACAATGTATGCTTGAATGAATCCTTCTTTATTATCTATACCTCGAGAACCAGACAAATGAGCCTGCCAAGAAGATCGATATCATTTGTTTCAGATGCAGAAGATAATATTTTAAATAATGATCCTCAGGTTCTCCAAAATGAGGAAAATTTTCAAATCAACTGGATTAGACCAAGGTATAAAGATGAGGACTAATTTAGTGATGTTCGAATTGTAGATCAAGATATATTACTTAATTTTTAGTTTTCAATCCTTCTTTGTTATCCTTAGCTTGAGAGCACAATGATAAAGTGCTAGGTTTGACACGACACTATTACCCTCAACACAACGCGAAGACTTAGAACATATGAGCCATTAGTTCTGGCTTGTTAAGCAATTCAAGTTTATTATGTGCAGTCGTTGAGAGGTCCAAATTGGGAAATTGTGGTTGAAATGCGATCAAGAAATTTGTTTCAGATGCCTTATAATACAGAAGGAGAAGGAGCATTAGAAGAAGCCTATCAAGAAGACAATATTTTAATTGATGATCCTGCGGTTCTCCAAACTGAGGGAGATGATCTCATAAATTGGACTAGAGCAGGGTTTGAAAATTAAGACTAATTTGGTCTTTGAAGATCAGGATATATATTATCTAATTTTTATTTTTATAGAACCGTGCTTATTATGATTAGGGCTAATACCACTAGGAAACCCGAACTATTAACTTTGTGTCATTTGTGTCCTAAAGTATCCGATATGACATTTGTGTCCCAACCTATTATAGTTTTGTGTCATTTATGTCTTGACGATTTTGTTGACCGTTATATATAACGGTTGACCAGACGGTGGTCGACTTGATGTTGAATTTTGCTGATGTGGCAAACACGTGACAGCCACGTAGATGCCATGTCATTGACACCTCATATTTTTAATTAAAAATTAAATAAATACTAAAATTGAAAAAACTAAAAATTAAAAAAAATATATCAACTCACCCAAAGGTTTGTTTGATCTGGATTTACCTTCCAGCATCCCCATAGATAACAATAAAAAATATTATTTGTCTGTAGCATGAAGGATTTCATCATCTTCTACTTCTAGTGAGAAACGATTCCACCCAATAATTTGGCTTGCCTTGTTCCTCTAATACACTTTCTCATTTAGCGGCACTGCAAAGTTGGGTAGCTATCGTCCATTCCCCAGATTCCGAACAACACACATCTAGCTTTGAAGTCGATTTCGATTCATATATCCACACCAAGTGGAATACTAATCCAATAGCAACAACTCCTAATCGATCCAAAAAAGGAGCGGGATACTCTGCATTCCGCCGATTCCCATAAATACATAAAGGAGAGGCAATTCTGGAAACTCAACTGGCGCAAGCGACGGCGGCAGATGCGACAAAGGAAGCGTAGGCGGCTCTCGATCTCGATGGTGGCCTTGAAGGTAATCTGCTGAGAATGATGGTAAGCAAATCGATTTCAGATTGTATGGTGGCAGGTGAGGAGGAGAGTCCATCTGATGAATAAATCATAGATGATTGCTGGAGCACGAAGGCGAGACTCAATGATGATAGCGAGAGATTGAGAGGTCCGAAGTAGGTCTGGAGCAGCGAGAGATCTGGAGAACATACAGACATGCATCAATCGCCGGCCACTACAGCGAGATCGTCTTCATCGTTGCCGATTTCCCTTCCTCTCTCGGATCCTCTCCAGCCCCGTCTTCATTGTTGCCGGTTTGGGTGTGTGCTATCTGGGTTTTCTTTCCAGCATCACGATCTAGGGTTAGCTTGATCTCGATTTACCTTCCCGCTTTCTTGATTTGGATATGGGTTCTGATTTTTCCTGGGTCACAACTCACAATCGGGTATCAGCTGGGGGAGTTGAAGAGACGGCCTCGGTTGCAGAGGAGGAGAGGGAAGCTTGATTCTCCCTCCTTCTTCCCCTTTTTGCTTTTTAATTTGTTTTTTGTTAGTTCATTCATTTTTTATGGAAAAATAAAAATAAATAAAAAATAAAATTCCACCTCGATTGCCACATCAACGCTGACTATACTTTCTGTTAAAACCTAACGGTCAACGTCGGTCAACTCTAACAGAAAAATAATTTATCACACAAATATCATATCGAATACTTTAGGACACAAATGACACAAAGTTAATAGTCCGGGTTTCCCAATGGTATTTGCCCTTATGATTACTTAAAGAAGATATGTTTTCTATCGATTCAATAATCATTTCTAGAAAATGTCATGCTTTTGGATTGGGATATAGTTAGAAATGTCTTATTTTCATAAATGCCTCCCAATCATTTCTTGTGAAGAAAAAAAGGGTCAACGGTAATTAATTTTGTAAGAAAGGTTTGAATTTTCTAACCAAATAGTATTGAAGAACTGTGTATGGCATAAAAAAATGATTTGTTCAGACCATAATAGTACTTACCAACTTTTAATTGTATCACAAATAATTTTTCCAGACCAATTCGTGATGGCAAACCTTCTGTGGCATCAAAAATGGTTTTTTTCTCACCAAATAGTACTTATGAAATTTTAATGGTGTAAAAAAAAAAATTCCTGACCATGTAATGCTGCCGAACTGTTTATGGCGCCAAAAATGATTTTTTCCTGACCATATAGTACTGATGAACTGTTTTGGCATAAAAAATGGTTTTTTCTGACCAAATATTACTTACGAACTTTTAATAGTGTCAAAAATATTTTTTCCTGACCATTTAGTGTTGACACACTGTTTATTTCGTTCAAATTAATAAATGTTTTTGACAATTGATATTTTGTCGTCAATAATAATAATTATTTCTGACGGCATTTTTGTATTGGTTATTAATGATGATTATTTCTAAAGAGGAAAATGAAATCGTCAAAAATAATGAGTGTGAGAATTTGAAAACAGTCCAAAATACATGTTACTGACGAAAAAAATACAATTATTGACGAAAATTCACCTCTGTCAGTAATGATACAATTATTACTGACGAAAACTATTGTTCGTTGGAATTATGCATATTTTTCGATGCAATTTCTTAGTCGTCAGTAAGTTTTCTTCACAACTGTCTGTCGTTTTTATAGTGAATGTATGATGAAAATGAAGAAAATCCACATATTTCTTGTGTTTTTGTCTAAAGTTGATATATTTCTCAATTTTTTGTGAGCTAATTATTACAGTTATAATGATGTTATTGAGAATAAATATACCCACAGGTACACTATAATTTCATCTCATATATTCTCAAACTTTATATGTGTTGTTCATGTATTGTAAATGCCTCATTTAAATATATTATATCTTATTGCAGCAATGTTTCCAAAGCATTTGTCATCGTTTGTCTCATCTGTCCCACTTCTCACTCGAACCAACTTCTCGGAATGGAAAGAGAATGTTGAATTCACCTTGGGAGTAGTTGATTTGGATATGGCTCTTACCATAGACAAGCCACCTTCTATTATCAATTCAAGTACTGATGATGAAAAGATTATCTTCAAGGCTTGGGTGAAGTCTGATAGATTGAGCATTATGTTTTTACGCATGACATTTGCTAGCAACATCAAAATCTCCCTACCCGTTCCAACAACTGCTAAAAAATATTTAAAAGCAATAGAAGAACGATTTAAGACTACAGACAAATCCCTTGAAGGGAAACTTCTCGCATATCTTACAACTATGAAATTTGATGGCACGTGCTTGATGCATGATCATTGTATTGAGATGACGAACTTTACTGCAAGGCTAAGGAATTTAGAAATGACGTTGGATGATTCCTTTCTCATTCAATTCATTCTAAATTCATTACCTTCTCAATATGGACCTTCCCAAATTACAATGCCACTAAGGGAAATGGACGGTAAATGAATTGGCGAGTAAATTGGTCCAAGAGTAGAGTCAGTTAAAACAACAGGGTATTAAGGTTGCACATATTGTCCAAGGAGCTGGATCTAAAGCTGAGAACATATCGCCTTATTTTAGATAGTGGATATGAGTTAGATTTATTTCAAACTCTTTACTTATCATGCACCTTTTTGCTCTTTTGTTGCGAGTAGTTACTTATAAATAAAAAAACATATAACTAAATTAGTGGAAAGTTGTCGAACGTAAAGAGCATTGTTAATTAACTACTCTGACAGAGCTGTTTACTGGATGTATATAAGTGTTGAATTACTGATGAAGTGAAATTAATCGAATAAATTAATAATGGATGCTGAAATCCTCAATGAAAGTCCTCAACTAAGTTAATCATGATTAGATAGACGGGTAGCCCCATAAAACAACCTTTTATATTTGGCTCTATATCAGTTGATTCTTCTTTATATGCAATAGTGGTGAAATTCAAATACTTAATAATTCACATAAAAGGGTACAACTCCATAGTTCCCGACCATTTATCTGGTATTCAGCACGTTGCAAATTTAACAATGCCTTAAAGCTCAACGACGCAAGGTTTCGCGACGTTGCGAGTTTGACAATGCCACGGAGCTAAACGATGTTGCGAATTCAACTTATGAATTTGACAGTGATGTGGACACAACGACATCGCGATGAGTAACAACGCCGCTAATCTCAACGATGCCGCGAGGTTAGCTAGGCAATGTTTAGAGGCCGACAATGTCTTGGAGTCAAAGCAACGCCGTTGTTCAATTATCAATATTGCCATGAGTCTTGCAGCGATGTGGTCTCAACCAGTGGTGAGGTTTTGTATGGCTAATGTCGTTACTCGATTCCATGGAAACAACATTGCAATTTGAGCGGCATCGCGAGTTCAACGATGCCACCAGGTTGACAACATTGCAAGTTGAGCACGTTGCAAGTCCAACGGTGTCGTTTAAATGATTGTGTAGTCTTCTTAGTTGTTTAAATCAATGATGATGAAGTAGCACCGTTGTGGTTCGAACCGCGGTGCAGATTTTGGGATGCACGTGAGTCTCACGAAAAGAAGGTTGAAGATGAGAGCAAGGCGATTACGAAGCAACAGTTACGAGGCAGTTCCATGGAGTAGTTACGTGAAGGCTACGATGATGTTGTTTGATAAAACGAACCGTGCAAGGAAAGAGGGGGGGGGGGGGGGGGGGGGGGACAACCAAAAATCACACAGAACAACTATGTCAAAACTTCTTTTTTCAATGTAACTCCTTTTCGAAGCTCTCCTTCCAGGAAGGATCTCCATAGTCATAGCAGTATTCGTACTTGCGGAGCTTTCCACAAGAATCTCCATAGGAGTAGTTTTAACATAGATTCCCCAAAAAACTCAAACACCCTCGTTCGAACATTGTTTGGAGAGATGTGAACCGAGTAATGGTAGTTCTTGGTTAGAAGTCAGAGGTGCATCGATCAAATCAACACCGCCCGGTGGATATTTGACGATCGTCTTCATTTTAAGTAAGAGTTGCACCGATCAAATCAACACCGCCTGGTGGATATTTGATGGTCGTCTTGATTTCAGCAATCAGTGGTGCATCCGATCAAACGACACCACAAGAGTTTGCACCGTGAAACAATCAAATCAACATCGTCGTTTGGCACGCCCGACGGTGGTATTTGGTTTCGCGTGAAACAAATTGATCACAACAAAACAATAAAATCAACATCACTCGAAATAAATTCGACACCGGCGGTGGTATTTGGTTTAGCAGGAAACAACACCACATAATTCATAATTGTAATTTTATGCATGAGAATTTTTGCTTGTCACGCCTATTTGAGAATTGTGAAATTATGATAATAATGATTTAATATTATTTTTATGAGGGTTGACAAAATTATCTCAAATTGTAGATATCTGCCCGAATTCGACCTAATTGGGTAGGATAAAACACGAACTCGTAAGATTTTTCATGGGTATGGGTAAAAGTATAATTTGAATATTGCGGGTATGCGTGGGCATGGTTTTCTCATTATCCAACCCAAATCCGCCTGATTATACACATGCATATGTATTTTGTCTAGAAATGTTTATTATTTGTCTTAACAAATTTCATATTTATTATACATATATAATGTTTTCATGAAATTGTGTTGTTTTAACTATTTTTATTCATTTTATTAATTTATTGTCGTACCTTTACACTTATGTAATGATACTATTCGTGTGAATGTTAAAATATTTGTTAAAGTTATAAAGGGAAATTATTAGCCATAGATAATCGTGGATGCCCAAAACATCGAATATCAGCATTATTTCATTTTTTATCGAATTCTTGGATGGGTATGAGTAAAACCTGAAGTATTTGGGTAGGATAATGAATATACACTATTTGTCTCGACGGGATTCGTTGTCATTGCTAATTTTATTAATTCTTTTTCATTTTGTTCATTTGACAAAAATTGGGATGACATAAATTAGGGACGGTCCGACCCGATACATTCATGTTTGTAAATACGTCATGGAAGTCACCATAATGATTTTAGATTCTACTCACTAAAACAAAAGGACACAATTTCATGAAGGGCATGGAATAATCTACAGAAATGTCAGAGGGTTAGTAGAATGACGATTCATTGATATTGACATCACTATAGTAGACTTCCAATTCCAACACTTGAAAGAGCCATTTCTACTGGGGAGAGGTTTAAATACGTTTTTCTATATACTAGCTGGACTCCTTCCGCGCTTCACAGCGGCGTTTGATTGGTGTGCGGCCATTGTTTTGTAAGCTCGTTAATAAGTTTAAGATGAACACCTAATTAACTCTAAATTTATATTCTATGTCCTCACAACCTAAAATTTACATGGCAACTCTATATTAAGGCCCTTTATTATACATGCAATTGTACAGAATCTA